TCTCTCTCTGTCTCTCTCTGTCTCTCTCTGTCTCTCTCTCCCCACTCTCTCCCCATTCTCTCTCTCTCTCTCTCTCTCTCTCTCTCTCTCTCTCTCTCTCTCTCTCTCTCTCGTTTACAAATAATTTGTGTTTGAGCCTCTGCTAATTAGTGACAATCTGTCCAGAATCGATGGCCTAAGTACTTGGAGAGTATAGATATACGTGTAATTGTATTTTTGACTTTAGTTGAAACTCGTGATTACAACTTGGCAATTCCACACGTAGGATAAATCATAATCTACCATCATAACGTATGTAAAAAGAATAATTTTGTATCTGATTAAATAGACAAGATAGTCGTGCAAGTAGAAATTAGTTTAATCAAGATTATAGAAAAAGCAGCTCGTGGCTTATCAGTATAAAAGATGTAGACTGTTACCCTAAAATGCTTTAACTTCCGTGACAGAGAAAGCATCAACAGTCGTACAACTCACTCAGTAATGTAAGTATTGTCTGAAGCATCTTTGGCCTGATTTTGTCTATTGGATTGTTTAACTATGTATCAATACTTATTAGGCGTTTTTTTAATTAGAGCATCGCCATTTTCAAGAGTTAATCTTTAAATATAAAACGTTTGACGATCTTTACAGTCAATGAAGAAAGGAAAGACACAGCAAGGAAATCATTGATATTGAACTAGCGAATAAAGGTATGGAGATCTACATAATATTGCTTTGGAGAGCTTTATCTTTAAGGTAATGTATTTTTCAATTTACTTTCTTTGAGAACTTTATAAACTGATTTATTCATACATTTATTCAGTCACTAATGCTTTTATTTACCCATGCATATTAAATATATCTGCGACTGTGATGTAGGGGTTAGGCACTTCTCTGTTGCACGCATGAGACCCAAGTTAGATTCCCCAAAGGAGGGAATTTTTATTGAGTACTTCGGTCTTTCTACTGGGATGTTGTAGCCCTCTCAGCTCTAGTTGCTCCTGGCAGGCAAAGCCGATTTAAGATTGTATCCGATTCAAGAGCGAAGTACTTTAATAGCGGGTGCCCAATGTGGACCAGATGCGTTTTTTAGACGACTCGGTTTGTGCCACGAAAAGCCACTTTGCGCCCGCAATCTGGCAAGCAAACCGATCCGACCCGAATCGACCCGATCGTGCCAATGGGAACCCGGTATATCACAACAGACGCCAGCACATCGATAAATTTAACATTATAGTGTAGAGTAGTTTGACATGGGTGCTCACAAGAGAAATGTTTCCCAAAGACGTGGCTATCTACTCATGTTTTACGATGCTCAAAGCTTTTATGTTCGATGCCTTTTTGACTTAATGGAATATGCACGCTTGTGTTGTCAATTTACGACACCTCCGTTTTTTGGCAGGAGTTTTGGTTTTTTAATTATCACTTTTTGCCCTGGTATTGAAACTTCTGGTTGATTCACTTGGTGCAAGATGACGACTCCTATCACAGGTCAGTAAATTCGTCCACACTCTTGCCGTGGGTGGTAGGTGGGTGCTCTGGTGTGGTTTGCTTCTTCTTTCCGATCCAACATCTGTCTTCCTTATCCTCTCTTCTTCTTTTTTATGTTTGTTACTCTCTTGTAACACCTCTAATCTTCTGGCGCTTGTATGACCTTATGCAGTTGTGAACGCAGTAAAACCTCTACTAAAACATAAATCAACACCCTTGCCGTGTTATCTTCATAATACTGGGTGCTCATTTGCACGATCGGGTCTGGTCGGGTCAGTTTGCTAGCCAGAATGAGGGCGCAAAGAGGCTATCATGGCACAAACCGAACGCCCGACTCGTCGCCTCAAAAACAAACGCGTTTGTCTTCGGGTGACGAGTAGGGCGATCAGGGGCTGACCAGTTTGCCACAGGACAAACTACAGTTTGTCACTGGCCCAGTTTGTCACAATTTCATTTAATTATGTAGTCATAATTGCAGCACTTTAACACTGTAGTCGCAACTAAAGTTTTTTAAATCTCCACCTTGAAATTGGTTTTGTAAAGATAGTCCCTCTTACATATCAATTCACCCTGTGTTGTTCAATATTTCTTCCTTTTTATATGCAAATCAAAACAAATTACTTTGTAAAATTTCAACAATGAATGTTGTTTTGTTAACAACAGTACAAAAATAAAATTCAATTCATACTATCAATCAATCGATCATTCATTTACTTTCTTTGAGAGTGTCATTGATAACTTCCATCATGCAGGGCACAGTCGAGGCCTGTGACAAACTGGCATGCTTCCGGGCGACCGACCCGACGCGACCCGATCCCATTCGCAATGGGCACCTGGTATAACTCTCAAAGCTTGTAATAACATATCTAACATAATATTATTTTTATCAATATCTTGCCGTACTGAGATGACTTTCTCATGTACCATGAAATTAGTTATAGTAGATGTTTTACGCCAGTATTGAAATAGCTTAGAATATTTTGGAGGGTGCTGATTCTCAAAGAGACGGAGATACTCAATTTAAACAAATTCCCCCCACGTATTACTTTTTTGTCCTTTGTCCCCTGTTCAGGTGCCATGTCACTGATCTTATTCTTATTAGACGACTGCCTAAGAAAATGTGGGTGAGCATGTACAATGATATTATTTCAACATTAGAATGGCTTTATAAGTAAGAGAATATGAATAAAAATTATTCTAAAGGTCTGTTTGTTAATATGTGAATATTTGACTTACCTGTTTTTTATTGTCCCTATCTTTCTATCTTTTATCGCCTATTTAGCTCCCCCCCCCCCCCCTCCCTCACGAGCTGTCCTGGGGGCGGGGGTGGGGGTGAGGGGGACTCATGCCCCTTTCTCATTCTCTTCGCGTGGAGAGACCAGGTTTAGAACTATTTTGTGTCACTGAACCTACCAATTAATAAATTACATGTAGTATATGCCCCCCCCCCCAAATCACATGGGGGCCGCTTCTAATTGGTGACTTTGTTAAAGTGTTAAGTATCCTACCCTGGCTGGTTAGAGAGTAGACAACAGCCAAATAACATGTGCTTGTATGATGATTGAGCACACAACTTTTGCTTTCCCACTTCATTTCACGTCTTCTGCTTGAGACTATGGACGTCAGTTGTCTTGAAAATGGCCAATCTCATTTCCTGAAATACTTCAAGAATCAAATGATAGGCTCACTGGTTTAATAAAACTGACAGGCTAGTACAAATCAGAGGGTTTCATTTACAGAAGGACAATCACAATAAACGGTAGGCCAATTTTATTATGTTTAAAGCAGTTGCTTGCACTGTATGCTTCCCGTGAAGCTGAGATTTTTTCTTAGTGTTCTGTGGTCTACTGGGGAAATAATATAGTGTATAGCGCATAGAGCTTGCTGAAGAACGGGGATATACGCTTTATGCTTTTTATCATTATTTTTATTTAAAGTCCAACCTCCCATATACGTTGTCGGAGATGGAAACAGAACAAAGTAGAGGATAGCTAGGTTTGGATGAAGTAGGTGTGACTTATGTTACTGAGGCGTTACGCTAGCCGTGAAGGCCGATCAGGGTCACCCTGAAAATGTTGGTGGCTAACTGGGCTCTGGTGAAACTGTGACTGGCTTAGCAGGCGGTAGTGGGTATTAATAGTGCTCAAGAAAATAAAATGAGGCTCAAACGGACGGATCAAAACGGGCAGCTTGACAAACGAAGAACCTGAGATAGCGGAGTTCATGACCGAGAGCAAGATCCCCGCATGGACATTACAGACATCAGGATAAAAGGAACAGGTACAAAAGAGATCCACTCCAACTTTGTCCTCTTTGGAGCAAAATAAAAAAGAGCAAAGAGCTGAACACGGTGTGGGTTTCATCATACACCCTGACAAATCAAAGGAAATAATAAGTACAGAGTTCATTTCTGAAAGACGCATCAAAATCAGCATTAGAGAGGGCAAAAAGACGGCAAACTACATTCACGTGTATGCACCGTGCAACGAATCCTACTACGACGAAGAAAAAGACTCCTTTTTTGGAACAACTCTCAGACTTAATCACCAGCATCCCAGACGAGGAAGACCTTTATGTAATGGGAGACTTCAAAGGAAGAGTCGGAAAGAGAAGAACACCGTGGAAAAAAACACCCGAATCCACACAGTGACCACAGAACACCATGCAATTGTAATGGCAACCATGTATTGGAACTGTGTGCAGAGCACAACTTATTCATCATCAATACCTTCTTCCAGCACAGAGTCACTCAGATCTACACCTGGTGCAGATGGAACAACATCAAGGTCTCATCACAGATCGACTTCATGAAGTAAGATCTCGAATGCAGATCACAATCACAGACTCCAGAGCCATTCCCAATTCAGGCATGGACACAGAACACAGGCCATTCATCACACGTTGACCACCAGGAAAGAAAACATACCCCACAAGCTATAGAAGACAGCAAGAGAGACTAAATGCATAAGCTCGGAGGTGATCAGGTGCAATTTCAGATCAGGTGCAATTTCAGATCAGATGCACCCTAAATGAAAAGCTATATATACCCTATCAACTCTACAATACTAACCGTAGAAGAAGCTTGGGACACCTTCAAATCAACTCTCCTGGACACTATTAAAGAAGTCTGTGGTATCAAGAAGACAAGAGGAAGAAACAGAAAGGCAACAGCCTGGTGGAACGAAGATGTTAAAGATGCCATCAGGGAAAAAAGAGACTGTATAATGTAAGCGACAAGTCAAAAAAGGAAGAAGACTACATGAAGTATAGATTTGCAAGAAGACACAACTTGAAAATTATTATAACATCAAAAGACAAGTCATGGACCCAGTATGGCGAAAAGATAAGTGAAATCTGCAAGACCTCACCAAGAGAGATTTGCAAGAAGATGAAGGCAATTGGAGTGAGAGGCGAACCCTATGTACCCACCACTGTCATCAACGATACTAACGGAGAAACTCCACATAAAGAGAAGGAAATAAAGAGATAGGAAGAATTTTTTCAAGAACTACTGAACCCATCAGGAGTACATGGCACAAAACACACAGTGCCGCTTCATCGCCGTCCACCCAGAGCACTCAGAACCTACCATCCTGGAGAGCGAAGTGAGAGAAGCACTGAAGACCAGTCCAAAGAACAAGGCAGCTGGAGACCATGGCATCACAACTGAAGCCATCCTTGCACGCGGTGAAACCGGAATACATTGGCTTACAATCGTCTTCCAGAAAGCTTGGAAAGAGAGGAAAGTACCAACAGATTGGCAGAATGCGATAGTGGTGCCAAAATGGAAGAAAAGGGGCAGCAAGAATGACTGCAATACTTACAGAGGCATTTCTCTTCTCAGCCACGCGGGGAAAATCGAAGAGCAACGCACTCGCACAAAAGCCAAACATCTTCTCGGCGATGCCCAGTTTGGTTTTAGAAAAGGAAGAGGGTACAATGATGCAGTCTTCGCACTCCGACAACTGTGTGAGAGGGCATTGGAACACGACCAAGATCTCCTTTTTGCATTTGAGGATCAGTAAAAAGCCTTTGATCGAGTGAATAGAAACAAGCTATGGGAGATCATTGAGCAGTACGACATCAAAGGACAACTGCTAGACAACACATGGGCTATCTCAAGGCTAGTCAGTCAAGGTTGCATTCTCTACCCTCTGCTTTTTGTGATCTATATGGACCAGATTACAAAGGAGGCCAATCCAGACCCACAGGCACTGAACAAACTCATGTTTGCAGACGACCTGGCTATGGTTAACAACAAAACTCAACTACAGAAGCATATGGACCAACTAAACGCGAGCTACGAGAAATATGACATGGAGATCAGTGTTAGCAAGACCGAGGTCAGGACAGTTAGCAGGAGACCAGACAACGTGGATATCAACATCAATGGAGGATCAAAACTAAAACAAAGCAGCAAATTCAAATACTTGGGCAGCATTTCCACAGAATGTGGAAAATTTGATCGAGAAATAGAGACTAGATGCCAGAAGGCCAATGCAGTCAGCTATCAACTCGCCCCTCTCCTGAAACATCCCGATATCACCATGAGCACCAAGGCCATTTTCCTACAAACGCTCACATATCAGTTCCAGACATGGTCCCTAACAAAAGCTCTGGAGAGAAAACTGGTCACATTCGAAATGAAATGCTTAAGAAGAGCGGTTAACAAGACAAGACGAGACAAAATAAAAAGTGAAATCATAAGACACATGGGAGGAGCAACATCAGTCCTACCACACATTGAAGAACAAAAGATCAAGTGGATCGGACTCCTCTCACGGATGCCCTCAAACCAGCCAGCTCTGAGGACATATAATATCAAATATTCTGGCTGGAGAGCCAGAGGAAGACCAAGGCGACTCTGGGGCGAATCTGTGGTAGACGCCCTCAGAGATCACGGGTGTCCCTCCTACAGGCCATTCGCCTTGCTGCAGACAGATGCCCGTGTCTCCCCACGACACCCACCAGTACAAGCGGAAGAAAAAGATAAAAGTAAAGTAAAATTATTTAAAGACGTATTGAGTGGTTGAAATTCATAATATTATTATGTCTATGGCAATAATCTTTTCCATAGGTCATTGCTGCTGAAGAGGAACAAACTAATCTAATTCAAGTTCTGTTGTAAGAATGGCAGAAACTTCCCTTGTTTTAGGGTTAAGATATCTTGATGGATGGGTCGTTACTCATTAATGTTAATAGATGAAAGGTCAAATCTTTACTTTTTTTGCATCGAATGTTACGGATTTTTATGTCTAATATTATTATAATATCACGTTTAATTCATCTTAAACCCATCGAGCATTTTCTTTCGAATAGTGTCAGGGTGTGAATGATTTGTGTAAATTCATTGAAATTGGTTCCTATCGACGCCATCCTTGTAGATCTAGTAAACACAAAATTGATTTGTAGTAACTATAGTGTTTTAGTTCTTTGTTTGTGTTAAAGGTAAACATTTTGAAAGCATCATACTGTTGGTTTCCACTTAACCTAGGATTTCACGTCTGAAAAGTCTTCGTTCTCATCTTTTAAACTCCCACAAATTGTATGAATACTGTATTACGAGACTATATTTTCTTTTGAGTACCATTAATATGTAGTCTATTTTTGTAACATACCTTATGCAGCAGCTATATCATGGACCCAAGTCCTCCTTTCTGTCTGAGAAAAATGAGTATTTTCTTATTAGTTTTAGTTTTTAAAATGAGTTTTCATGATAAAAGGCAAATGTATATTTTTCTACTAAATTCATAATAATAAAACTCTCGTATGTTTTCGATTTGTTTGGTTAACATTCCTCACACAATTGTATTGCTCTTATTGTGTTATCTAGATATTCCGCTTCTGTTTTGCATTTAATGATGCCTCAGTTTGAGACTAACGTCACGTCATGCGTTCCATAAAATGTCTTTTATGAAATACAAACCTTTCATACACTGCTCTATAAATAAATCATTGATGGTCAGGACTGTGCGAGTGCGAGTGTTCATGGAGTCCATATATATATATATATATATATATATATTATATATATATATATAATAATATATACTTTTAAATACCTTTTTCTAACCTTTTTGAGAATAAATCAGATTGTCGAAATTAATTACAATCCTGTACACTGAAACTGGTCTTCACTTTTGTTTGACTTGAATTGCTAATTGTGTTGTCCATGTAACATTACTATCAATGCTCAAAAGAAACACATTTTCGAAAAGGCACAAAATCAACAAAAGCCTAAGGTCTGCAATGTTAGCCTATTATCCTGGGAATATCCAGTTACCTGAACAACATATCAACACTTTAGCTCTGCAGATACTGGGTATTTTGACCCCTCATGACTCCAAAAGTCGTCAATGCTAGTGGACTAACCCATACGTGTATGTATATTTTCTGTGTTAAAATCGGTTCCACTTGATGAACGTCTTTGCCAATAACCGATGAGAAAGCTAGTACGTGGTACGTGATATTTATTGTATTAGGTCCTTTGTTTGGTTGTGGAATGCTGAGATTTGATAGAGCGAAGTATAGGCCTGCTCAATATAGTGGGAACTAGTCAAAGCCGTCATTCGACACTGTCAAATCTGAACTTACTTTTTATCAATGGACATTCTTTCAAAGAAAAACTCCTCTCAAGAAAGTTTCTAGAATGCAGGCCTACGAGTAGGAAGTTTTTGGAGAACGTGATTCTTGGTATTGTTGTATAATGTAGACTAAGACGCATAGTGTAATTTGCGAAAGAAAATTAAATTCCATAAATATTAAAAGAAACATGAGGTGTATTTCTTAAATCCCTAACGTGCACATATATGAAAACAAACACGTGCTCTTGACGCAATGCAATACTGAGGACTTGCATACAAACGCTAAATGGGTGTCTGGCGGGTGCGGTTGTGTGGTTTGATCCTTCTTTCCTGTCAAACAGCCATTTTTCTAATTTGCCATCCTTCTTTGTGTGTTTATCACTCCTGTAACATGACTTATCTTCGTCACTTATAATATAACTTCGTGTTTTGCAAGTGTCGTTAAACAATTTCTGAAACTATATCAAACTGCTGATAATGCTATTGAAATTATTGCCTTTGAGCACAAACATGTTGCAGGGTATAGTCCATTTTCCGTGGAGTATCTGCTTCATTTTGTACTATCTCCCGTTTCTGCGACTGGAGTTCAATGCTTTCATTATTACCATGTTTTTTTGGGAAAAACGAGGAACGTTTAGCTAAAACAATAAAGTACAAAACTCTCTATAATACCAGAACAATACTGGACGTAATGATTTGGTGCGGAGTAGTATAATTCGGTTAAATGATAATATCATGATATGTGAGGCTTTGTGGTGGAATCAGAGGCTCGGCAGAACAAACGAAATCCAAGAAACAGTCATTTTCCCGCCAGTTTGGTAATTTTTATCGATTTTTTTTGTCTTTGGCTCAACACCTTTCATGTACCTGTAACAACACATTTCCATGAGATTTTATTTAAAACGTTGATTAAATGAACAGAAAATGGAAATTTTCAGTTTTCAAAGACTCTCAAGCTATTGAAGTTACCAAACTTCGGCAGCCATTTTTTTGCTAATTTTACCTCGGAAACCAAGTGGCCTCTACCTTCTTCAATTGCAAATATCTCGACTTCTTCAACAAACATGGGTAATTTTTTCATCAAAAGCAAAGCAAATGAACAAGTTTTCAGAAGAAACCAATAACTGCAGACGCCCAAAAATTAACGAGCGCCTGATTACACCGCGTCATGACACATATGGTCATGCCTGGTCAAGTCAGATCTTTTAAATTTGTTTTAATACATGTGGTTTATGCCCCCATCGACGAAATTTAGACCAATCAGACCCTGCCTGCTAGGATCAACCCTTGCTGAAAGGTATACAACATCCCAGTAGAAAGACCGAGATACTTGATATAAATGAATCGATCTCGGGGTCACCTGCGTGCAACAGCGGAGGGCCTAACCGCAGACGCCGTAAAATCTGATCTTATGCTACACATGATACTGCATGCCCTACTCCATATCACTATGACAAAGTTGGCATACCTTTCCAGGCTATGATATATTTAGGTAAGTTATTGAATGATACCTTCCCGACGCCCTAGAGGTACAAGAGGATGGATAAAGTGAAACGTTTTGATTGGAATGGTAAGTTATATTAGGGTATGGTACGACATGGTTTGACATGCGTTTTAGTTCATATGAACACTATAATTTTATTTAGAGGTGAGACTTCCGATTTAGTGTATATTATTTTCAACTGAACAGATCGAGATAATGGCTGCCTGTAGGTGTTGTGGTGACGAAATGTGATATCTAGAAGTTGTTAATCTTATAAAATGTATTCACAGTTTATACTGTTTTCTAATTACTACAATATAGATAATGTTTATATTTGGAAGCTGTTAATCTTGTGAAGTGCTTTTATAATTTATACAGTTTCCTAACCATTACAATATAAATACATGTAACTGAATGTGTTTTAAATTAGCCTATTTGCCCTTGACCTGGTCTAAATCTTACACTAATAAAGCACTGTTGTTGTTTTTTTAAACATCCCATATGTTTTATAGGGCATGGCTACTGAAATTTGTAGTGCTGGAGACTTGGAGGCGGCCAAATGATTCTATAAAATAATTAAACAGCATTGTGCAGTGGTCTCAATTATAACCAGATGCCCCTTTTAAGTACTTTTGAGATACCCTCTAGAGGAGTAGAAACAACAAAAAACGCAATGAAAACAATGATAGTACATAACAAGATAGTTCACTCATCTCTTTGGGCCCATTAAAAAAGTGTCATCAAAAGCCGGTGGCGCCCTCTTCGGAAAAGCGCACCCTTTTCGATCAGAGTTACCCTACCTGTGTGGAACAAATTTAAGTGAAACTAACAAGTTTTTTTAATTAAATTAAAATTAAAATTTCGGAGGAACGCTTTTTAAAAAGGGTTACGCTACCAAAAAACCTCCTCCAACTGTTTTCTTCGTTATATTTGACTTTAGAATGAGAGGCGAGAGGTC